GTCTAGGACAGAGTATATATATATATATATATATATATATATATATATATATATATATATATATATATGAACCCAAAAAATGTGAACTTTTTAATAATCCAATAAAACCAAGAGTGATGGAATAAAAATATTTTATTCATAGTAATTGAAACCTTAAAACATGCCATTTAATAAACAATGATGGAATTTTCATTTTTTTAAAATTACGTCCTGTAGATGGCGTCCTCCTGTACGAATGCATTCTTGAAATCTGCTGTTGAGATTCCTCATTGACTGCTGCAACATCTCAGCTAGGATACTGTGAATTTCATCTTGAATTCTTAATGGCGAAATGTTTACTTGCTCAAGGTCACTGTCTCGCAGTGTTGCCACTTGTTCATGTCTGGCAATACGCACTTCAAAAAATTTCCGTTTTTTGGGGTCACCCTATATATATATATATATATATATATATATATATATATATATATATATATATATATGAACTTTATTTCAATACTTCATGAGTTTCCGATCTATAGCTATGAGTAATTAATGATGAATAAGTCATTTTCATTTATAATCTCTATTTCATCATGATTATTCTGTTAAGCTTAGTAATTTTACATTATTATTACTCAAAGTAGAGTCTAATAGTGTCATAGTACCCTCGGGGAATTTCAGTAAGACATCTTTTATCATTTCTAAGTTCCAAGGTTTCAAAACTTAATCTAACAAATGAACAATTTTGCTTTTTCACGATTTGAACAATTTTGCTGTTACATACGGATCGCTAAAGGTGTTATAAGCAATAAAGTATATATATTTTTATTGGTTCATCTGGAGGAAGCGGAAGAGATTTACGCTGAAGGCGTTGCTTGCTGAAGCGCAGAAACTTGGCTGACACATCTTCGGGTATTGCTACCATGTTACTTCCTGGTGGCAAAACATCTCACAATTCATTCGAACTGCTGTTGAACGTTGCCAAAAATGATAAATAACTAGATAGCGGCCATGGTTGCAGAAAAAATGCTACGAAAATGGTGGATAAAAATCTCACCGGTCTGGAGTAAATATCTCGAAGTGTTTATATCTATCTCTCTAGCTAGCTATCCTTCTATATCGGTTGTTATCTATTTTGATCTATCTATTTATCTATCTCTGTATATGTCTATCTCGACTTGTTCATATCTATCGTTTAAATATCTTAATCTATCTATCTATCTCTATAGATACCTAGCTAAGACTACAATATTTCTTTCAATAAACAATACCCTGATGATGACATTGTGCTATGTCGAAAGTACTCGGAATAAAAGAAATATGTATCAACATGGCAATTTTCGATGGTCCTTCAATAACGAGATCAAAAAGCTTATCCGTGAATATGAATAAGCTGACAGAACATGTCTAAATTATTCAATAAAACATGTCTCACTATATATATATATATGTGTGTGCGTGTATGTGTGCGTGTGTTTGTGTGTGTGTGTGTGTGTGTGTGTGTGTGTCTGTGTGTGTATAATCCCTTTAAACATTATTTTTAGTGGATATTTGTGTAAACACACTACTTTATTAAACAGATTTGATATAAAACTGAGGCAGGTAGGATCACGTCGGATCTAAAGAAGGTTCCATCTGCCCAGTGGGGACGAAGGTTCGAATCCTGCTGGAGAGCGCATATTTTTTCTTTAATAAGATTTCTTGTATATTCAGGACGAGGAACGAAAATGAGTATACCGTTTAATAAATAAACGGAGCGTCTACTTAAACACGGGTATCCACTAAAAATAATGTTTAAAGTGATAAAATATGTCGGTTTAATAAATAAAAAATATTATTTCTCTAAAAGATCATATATATACATATTGGTAATATTATTGGTTAATATATATATATATATATATATATATATATATATATATATATATATATATATTCAAAGAATTCCTAAAGATTTGAGAAATCGGAACGGAAACTTTAACAGAGTGACGTATATATAAAGGGTATTAGACCGATTTTAAATGTGAATTAAGTTTAAGCGTCTAATGATTTTTTCTTTTTCTTTCGGGTTTAGCAACTTAAGTCTTTGGCAATTTCAACCATGGAAAGATTAACAACGTGTTAAAGTAATCGAATCCAATTACGAAAATGGACGTTAAAATAGAAATGTAATGAGAAGTTCCCAGGTCGCATCATCTCTCGAAACAGCGAAAATCAGTTGGCCTCCACGATCGTGCGACTTGACGCCGTTAGATTTCTTCCTTTGGGTTCATTTCAAAAGTAAGGTCTATGCTAACAACAATTCAACAGCTGAAGGATAATAAGGTTTATTGGTGAGATCGAGGAGCAACTATACAGAGACGTCATCAAAAATTTTGACCATCGAGTGGAAGTGTGCCGCCGAAGCCTTGACGGCCATTTGGGCAATATTATTTTTCACACACAATTGCCATGACTTAAATAACATAGAGAAATAAATAAATTTTCACCAATTACATTGATTTATTTAACTGCTGACTTTTAATGAAACACCGTTGGCGGGTATAACAGCAAAATTATGAAAATCGTGTAACTGCAAAATTGTCCAATTGTTAGATTAAGATCTGAACCGTTACATGTCAGAACTGATTAAAGATATCTTACTGGAATCCCCCGAAGTTTGTATAATGTTATTGGATTTGAACAATAAGAATGTATAATTACTCTTGAAGCTTAACAGCGGAATCGTAATGAAATCGATCATAAACGAAAATGTCATGTTCATCATTAATTAATGATAGGTAAGGATCGGAAGCTCTTGAAGTATTGAAATAAATTCAAAACATATATATATATATATATATATATATATATATATATTCCAGGATCATTTTCCAACTTATTCAAGATGATCTTCGCCCTGTCTAACTTTCTAACTTTCTGTCCTGGAGTAACAAGATGCCTCACACTTTTCATATATGATTTCATTTTCAAGTCTTTTTTCACTGCCTTTTTGACTGTCATAGAGGAAACTGCTCTCTCATGTGGCAAACGTCTTATGGATTGAGTTGGATCTTTTCTTATTGATCTCTTTACCTCTAAATTGAAATGATGATCCCTCTTCCTGTTGTGACCTCCTGATCCAGTTTTACTCTCCACTGTTTCCTTTTTAAAACTTATTCACCGTTTTCTTGATGGTTCTTGAATTGATTTTGAAGATGGAAGCCAGAGTATGAATGTTGCTACAATTACTGAAGGCCTGAATGATCTTTTTCCTCTCACCGTTGCTCATTTGGGAAGACAATGGGCCTGACACATAATAATTTTAACCTTTTCTCTTTCGAGCTGAATATCTCAAAGTGTTTTGCAGTGATCAGATGGGAAGACAGCGTGTCTTACACAAAACAATTTTAATCTGTTCTCTTTCGAGCTGAATAACTCAAAGGGTTTTTCAACGATCCTTACAACAATTTTTTCTAGTTTTTTTTGGTGGGGGATATTAAACATTTTGTGGGATGTATGTGTATCCATGTAAAATGAGAACAAAAGGAGTATAATCCCAATGTAACATTTCATTTAAAAGATGGCTCAATACAGAGTAGAGTAAAATATTATTTATTTTAAGATATTAAAACATGTTAAACATCGCTTCATAATGGCAATTATATTTCAATACCATAGTTTAACATCGCCCGAGGGGATACATTTATGGTGTTGAAACATAATTGCCATTATGTAGCGATTTTAACAGCTTTGATATCCTAAAATAAATCACACACACACACACACACACACACACACACACACATATATATATATATATATATATATATGTATATATATATATATATATATATATATTTAAACAGATTTCTCATACTGCCAAATCTAATCAGACATTTGAGGAATAAAAAATATGGAATCATATTAAACATAAGATACAACAGTATCCGCGTTTAAAACATAAAATGTAAGGCGCCTTTCGACCGACACATTTTCAAACACAATCGTCAGTAATCTAAAACAGAGTACTAACAAGAATAAACTTTTTTATTAATACCGTAATAAAACGAGATGGTAAGTGGGGGGAAAAAATTATTTTACCTCAAATCATGTAACCGTTCCCCCAAATAAGGCCAACTTAAACTTCATCTCCCGTTGTACGCAGAGGGCCGGCCTACGTATGTTGATAATAACAGACTCCAAAATATCGAGGTGGAGTTTGTTCCTAGACCTGTGCAATACCGAAAAGAAATGGGGAGAATACTCAGTCCTACAAACACCAGAATTTAATAGATGTTCACCGATATATATATATATATATATATATATATAAAAAAGCACAAAAATGTCTGGTGAATTGGCAGTTAGAATGTGGGGTTTTTATGCTCGTTTTGTATTCTTTCTGGTGACCGTTTTATCAATAAAATGCCGTTTGGGCCAACCCTCTGATGATCCGGTAGCTGAAACCTAGGTAGATAGGTTCTGGCTCTTTAGGTATTGTAATTTTGCTCTGCTAAGCGTATTGAGCACTTTTGCGTATAAGCTTGTCTGACTGAGGTATGAAGAACGCAGCCGATCAGACAAGGTTGAATAGTGCCTTTAAGCAGGGTCCCTATCGTCATAGACTAACTGTTTAATAAATGAATTTAAGCGCAGTACTAGATTGGCGGGAAGGTCTCATTATCTTACTGTTTAAATGGCTTGATGTAACCGTAAGTTCTATGCTAACAGTTTCTTTTCTCGCACTTCTCACTTGTGAATCTCTCTTTCGGTTTCTTGCTTCCCATTCGACTTTGTCAATCGTTATCTTCTGTCGTCTTAATTCTTGGTCTTTTATTGTCGTCTCTCCCTACAATCAGGAAATCCTTGCGTCTTAGTGGTTTTATTGCCTTTCTTGAGGTGAAATGATTAAAAAAATCGCTATCTTCTGCCTTCCCGAAACTTTTTACTTTTATTGCTTTTTCTCCTCACTGAAGTGATCTCATTCTCTTTCACTCACACTAACTGCTTGCGTCTTATTGGTACTATCGGCTGATTCAGGGTGAAATGGAGTACGATATGGAACTGTGTGTGTGTGTGTGTGAGAGAGAGAGAGAGAGAGAGAGAGAAAGAGAGAGAGAAAGAGAGAGAGAGATAGAGAGAGAGTACGCGTGCATACGTGCGTGCTTCTTTCCGGCAACGAATACGTTCAAATTACACCCGACCTTTGAACTCGAGAAAGTCGTGGCAGGCAAGACATTAAGATTAGAGGTTAATAAAAGTCATCTTCGGTTTGAACTGCTGAAATAGCTTGTTTTACCAGATGCGCGTTATCTAAATTGTTTCTTCATCGAATTGGAAGAGTTCTGAATTTGCAATAAACTCCGATGATGTGTGTTGAAAAACTTCGCATGTGATGAATGATATGAGTTTTGTTTTAATCATTGAATTGAAATGAGAGAGGGAATTATTTTAAAAAATTATGGTACAAGGTGAAGGGCGATTCAAATGTAAAAAGCAGCCTTGGAAATGTTGGTAACGAAATTATGTAGATCAATGCGCATTCAAAGTGATGTACAAGTAGATAGATAATGAAGAGCCTAAGATAGATAGATAGATAGATAGATAGATAGATAGATAGATAGATAGATGAAGAGACTGAGATAGATAGATAGATAGATATGAACAGACTGATATATATATATATATATATATATATATATATATATAGATATATACATATATAGATAGATAGATAGATATGAAGAGACTGAGATAGATAGATGTAGAGACTGAGATAGATAGATAGATAGATAGATAGATAGATAGATAGATAGATAGATAGATACGTACGTACGTGTGCTTAGCGTGAGGTGGCGTACTTCTCTAAAAGAAGTTTTCATTTCATGGTGGGTGTTAGTATTTTGTCAGCCAGGAGAAAATGCTTGCGAAAAAAAGTACTTATCCATCAATGGTCATTGAAATTCTATCCGAATTAATATGAAGATAAAATCACGATTCTCATACCCCGCCATATATATATATATATATATATATATATATATATATATATATATATATATTTATATAATGTATTTGGGTAGCAATCCCTCTTCTCTTATACATGTTTCATTAAAGACGACTAACAAAGTACTGCGATTAAACATTTATTCAGCTTTACTTGTGTTCGTATATCTGTTTTCTTTTCTGGACATAAACTGTGTAAACTGTCCGAATGTCCTGTATATCCGAACGATTTCGGCTATTCACTTCCTCATCATCAAGAAGTTTTTTAATTGAATGTGTAGATTTTTAATATATGTATCTAGAGTGATGAAGTACTTTATTATTTTACAATCCCGCTATTGAGTGTTGACTTTTTCTTGAGTGTTGTCTTGAGTTATTGATTTTTGGCTTTTAGTGCTTCCATTGTTTTTACCCTTTTTTTACATGTGGATGATGCTATTATAGCTGTATGTTGCAGATAGAGTTTGGTAGGTTTCCGTGTCTGGTTAAATGAGTCCTAATTCAGCTCAGATAGATGTAACATTAGCCTTCTTGATAGGCGTGTAGTGGTATGACCAATATAATTATGAATCTGGTTTGATCAAGAACACACAAAAGAAAAAACTTTAATAAAACTTATGATTTGTATTGACGAAGATATTTTAAAATTAGAATGCATTCGAAACTATCAGAATTAAAAAGTAAAAACGAACGGTAATAATTCTTATTCTCCATTTGTTTTTACTTATTTATTCTGCTAAACGCTGTACAAATATGTATTTTTAAAATTTCTATTCTCTTGAATTTATTTTCGCATTTTTCGTAAATAAAAGCGAACATTAAAAAATATTAATTTTCGAAATAAATCTTAGGCGCAAGAAATTTACATATCAAAGTTAAAACTCTTTAAATTGATTATATGATTATATCATTGTTATAAAAAAAATTAACGTAGACATAATAAATAAAGAAATAAGAAGTGACAGAAGGTTGCAATAGAAATATTCAGCAATAGATATTACGTGATTTTGTTTCTCTTTAAGGTTGAATTTCCCAAATAAATTATTTTTTTTAATAATTAAATAAATTAAATTACTTAATTTAAATTATTTTTGTTAATAAATAAATCTTAAAAATTATACTCATTTTTTTTTACTCTTTCTTGATCTTCATAATTTAAGTGTACCGCGAAAGATTAATTACAGTATCAACATGCGACATATGAAAATGTAAATAATTCTTGCGTGATTATATATATATATATATATATATATATATATATATATATATATATATTATTTTTTATTTTTAAGAGATTATAATAAAAGCATACTGAAATCGCAACACAAAAGCTTTCATGTTTCAATACTATGATTGTACTTCTTCAGGTGATGGTAAGTAACTGGTAATTAAATGATTTTTAAGAAAATTTCAAAAGCAAAATGTTACCTCTTTTTTTCGAAAGATATAAGTAAATGCTACGAAGAGTTGAATTTTACTCCATCGGTTCTTTCTCTCATTTATATATATATATATATATATATATATATATATATATATATATAGAGAGAGAAAGATACACACACACACACATATATATATACATATATATGTGTGTGTGTGTGTGCATATATAGAAAAATAGGAAAGAACACGTTAAGTAAATAATCCGAATTTCTTTAATTTTTTTGTTTTTATTTTTAAAAAACCGTGTTGAATACAAAAGTAGAGCTTAAATTATAATTATAAGTTTTTTTTTTAAATATGATTCCTTCGCAACATAAGAGTTCTCATGTTTCAAAAACAAGAGCCAAATGCTCTGTTTCATCCTCAAGCGAAACTTTTGGAATTTTTTTCGCGTGAGGATGAAATAGAGCTTTTGGCTCTTGTTTTTGAAACCTGAGAACTCTTATGTTGCGAAGGAATCATATTTTTTTTTTTAAATAATTATAATATATATATATATATATATATATATATATATATATATATATATATATGCGTCTCAATTAATTATTTGAAAATGAACTTAATATTTAATCGCTACATTTAATGAGAGCTTTTCTTGCATGGTAAATTGACAGTGAGTTTAATTGACGCTTTCCCAAAGAATGGATAATCGGACTTATACTAAGTTAAAATGTTATAGCTGTTTCACTGTCCCAGTTCATAACCTACCCTATATGTCTCACACGGATTCTTAATCCTTTCCTTGGTCCCTCGGTTAGCTGGTTCTAAGGAATTTGCTAACCAATTGTCAACCCTTACCGGGTGACTGTGACAAGTGTAGTTGTAATTCTAAGCTCGAAGTTTTCTTTTGTTAACAATTGTTTGAAACTGAATGCTGTACAGCACCTTCTGCCGCATCACTTACCCAGCACCCACATACTCTGAGCCAAACATACGCGTAACCCCACTGTTGCCACACCGACCCTACTTCCTCTCACTGTTCAAGTTTGGCACGACCCAAACCCTAATAACAAAGTCAAAGTATTCAGTCACCTTGCTAAGCTAATGTACGAATTGTAAAACCTGTAATTTTTTGGTTGCAGCAAATAGATAACTTGCCTATGCATGCCCTCCCCCTAGAAACTTCTCTATGCCTGCCCTCGCCCGAGTAACTATGCGTCTACGATATTTAATCAAATGGGAGTCGGGGATGTACACACACCCTCGAGCAACCTTCATCACCCACTTCTTCCAGTGGGTCTTTTAGTTGTCATGTACAGTAGAGATCTTGTCTTTGTACCTTAGGTTTTTGGCCGGTATGAGATTTCTGGCCCAAGAAGCAGTTCTGTTGCTCTGACCTCTAGGCGGACGAGACACGTACACTAGGAGTATCACGCCTGAATCTTTCCTGGGTTATTTTGCCCTTCATTAAGGGTGCTGGAGGTAGACGTTTTCTAGGTTTTGATGTCACCCGTCTGATAGTCAAGGATCTGAACCTTCGAATAACTTCGGAGGGGGCTATCCTATCAGCAGGAGTATAATATCGGGGCTACTGTACTGTCGTTTTACGAATGATTTCTGCACCATGCAGTAGTCTCCGGTGGGGCCTCTCGATGACATGATGAAGGGTACTGCTACGGCCGTACTCTCCAGGTTATCCCTGCATGCAACTCCTGTGGATATGTCTGTCTCCCATCAGTCTTCCACCAACAAATACACACATGAAATCGTTTCAAATAAAAATGAACAAAACTAGCAAACCCAACCTCAAAAAAAAAAAAAAACATCTCCTACACTAATGTGAGGAGTATACGTCCCAACTTTCCAGAAGTTGTACTCCATCTTCTTCAGTGAAAACCCGACCTCCTGTTTCAGCCTGAAACGGGTATCAGTATCTCCATCCCACTACAGAAGCTCACAATCCCGGATTATTAACCCCTTATAGTCAAACACGACCACCTAAATAGCCAGAACCACGGACTCAAAGTATGCATCAAGGATGGATTTCCCTGTGCTAGAGACGTCAAGAAACGAGGACCCTGGAGGATTCAGTTCGGAATTCCAACAAATATCACCTGAAGAAGGCCGGGGCATACACCCGCCGAAATGTCCTGAATGTCGCAACAAAGGTGATGATAGCATTCCGAACAACAGAAATAGTGTAAATAATTACAATGCCTCATTTCAGAAATATACACAGATGAAAATATTTCCTAAATTACACTTCTGTTAACTTGAAACGCACTTGGCAACATTTCAGGGTGCATTATTGCAACTGGGTGAACCGGTTGAAAAACGCTGATCTAGAAATAAAAACGGTTGCAAAAAAATTACTCTCTTCATTTCTGGCACTCCTTCTTTTTCCGGGCGATGTTCTGTGCCGGAGAGCTTGAAACGTGGCATGAAATACAAACGTACCTGTCGCCCTTGTTGAATAGCGTTATCCACCAAATAACTGTGCTCACATCCACTGTTAGGTCTCCGAAAACATTATGCCTCCATCCGAACAGACACTCTGAAACGAGCAGCCAGTTACACACACACACACACACACACACACATAGGGTGTCCATAAAGTTCGTGTGCACTTTAAATAATGTATAACTTTATTTGTGTTTGTAGTAGAAATAATCTGTAAAAAGTTTTATAAAGTTTAATGTACCTAGTTTTAAGTATAGCTAAAATAACTAATGTAATTTCAGGCATTACTGTAAATCAGTTGGCAAATGTTTTCCGTGAACTGCAAAATCGTATTACCCTTTCTAATCCTATTTACAAATAATTTCTATCGCAAATACAAATAAAGTTATAATTTTTAAAGTGCACACAAACTTTATGGACACCCTGTAAACACACACACACACACAAACATATATATATATATCTGTGTGTGTATGTATGTTCTACGAGTACACACATTTTTATATAAACATATATTTATTTTACGTAATGGATCAAGAATTTAAGAATACACCTACACATATGCCTATATGTGTTTTTAGAAGATAAATAGATAGCTAGATAGCTAGATAGATAGATAGATAGATAGATATGAATATACTGACATAGATATGAAGAGACTGAGATAGTTAGATAGAGGCTGAGATAGATAGATAGATAGATAGATAGATAGATAGATAGATAGATAGATAGACTTAAATTCATATATGTAGACATGCAATGAAAAATTCTTAAATGTAAATATCAGTAGTTATGTTTTATACAATATAACTTGTTGTCTTAAGTTTCTTATGTTATCAATGTTTTCGCTTAATATGTTACATATTTTTTATATTGTAGCTTCGAGAAACAACAATTTTACGTTCTCAGATAGTTTAGATTACTTTCATGAAATACCCAAACCATGAGTTGTGTATTTCTGTTACTCCTACTGATGGGGTATACACCCCCACAACAAAAACAAGTTATAAATGATTACATATTTGTGTTTCTTAGTTTTTTCCCCATCCGCTCTTCTGTAGCTGTTTTTGATGAACTCAGTTTATTTACGGATTTTAAATTATTTCCTATCTTAATAAAAAATGATTATTTTATGATGACGTAAATTGTTTAAATGTTAATGGAATAGTGATGTTTCTATTTGGCTTTTGTTATTAAATTAACATCGAATTCAAAATATCTGATCCAATTGTCTTCGGTGAGATTCATGTGTGGCGAAACACTCCAGTTCAAAACATGAACTTAGACAAATAATTAATCGAGTGAAGGCTTCTAATTATTTATAACCTAAATATTTTTAAATAAATATTTCTTTATGATTTAAATTGCATTTACTGCTGATAAAATCCCTACAAATAATATCTTAGCTGCTTCGATTTATGTATAAGGTTGTTCGGAAATTTTTTTTTTTTTTAAGCATTTCACCCCAAGCAAGGCGGGATGCCACTAGCACGCAAGGAGTTAGAGAGTGGGAGCGAGAGATGTGATGGAGGAAAGGATGAAGAGAAGGACAGGGAATAGGTCTGGGTATCTGGAGATGTCGATTGACATTACATTTGAAGAGTTGGAGATTATAGCTATCAGGGAAACAAGTAATAAGAAGGGAATTCCACAGACGGGAGGTGCGAGACATGAAGCTAGTGGAGTAGAAGAGACGGCCACATTTAACCGTTTCGACAATGAAAGGGTGGGACCGTGATGCCAGCCTAGTAGCACGCTTAAATTCATGCAGTTTGGGAACTAGCGAAAGTAGCTCGTCGGAGCAGTTGCCATGAAATTATTTGTAGAAAAGACAGAGGGAGGCGACGGTACGTCTCTAGGAGAGCGACTGTAGACGAGATGCCAGATCAGAACCAACCACATTGCATATCCGTCTCTGGATTTTGTCGAGGACCTTAAGGCGAACACTGGGGACACCGGACCGTATATAGCAGCAGTATTCCATGCAAGGGCGAATGGTTGATTTATGGATTTGAAGGATGGACTCGGGCGATAAAAACTTTTTGCGCAACACAGGGAACCAACTTTCCTTGCGGTGGATGAAGCAATTGATTCAACGTATTTGTTCCATCTCAGGTCAGCGGACAGTGTGAGACCAAGCAGTCGCAAAGAGGTGTGCTCTCGTGGACTTGAGCATGAGACATTCTAATGGATGGCAACGATGGTTCCCTGTGGTGAGTAACAGAGAGCAGAATAGTATCCGGTTTTAGAAAAAATAAACTTTTAATTGTGTTCTAAGATATTCCTTTGAGATTTTAACTCAAATTTCTTCTACAGAATATATTTCATTTTATTCAAATTAGTAAGACAATCAGTAAAGTTAATTTTATTTGGTGCTTCTTAATTCATGTTTTTAATTGTACTTTTTCCATAATAATGTTTTTTTCTCATATCCCCTGACACTCATTAAACTCTTGCGTCTTTGTGGCTTGCCTGGAGTTTTTTATTTATCTTTCAGGAGACCGTCAAAACTTTGCTGACCTATTTTAAAAATGTATTTTAAAATGAACTTCCGGCGTTCTTGTTGGCATTTAAATGTAAACGCTAAAAAGATGCATCTAACGTTATCAATACTATAGTCGAGTTGGCTGAAATGTGTATATTTATTGCACTTTTACATACTCTTTTACATCTTTGTGGCTTTATTGCCTTGCTTGGAATGAAATTATTAAAAAATATAGTAACGCAAAAGGAATATAAAATAGAAATCATTTGGTCTTGATAAAAAATGAATTTTCCAATACTTCTTTCTTTATTATGTGACCTAGGAATTTTAATTGTTTTTTTTGTCTTTTTTGTAATTATGTGCCATGTTTGTTTCCAATTTCCTGAAAAAGAACTCGCCGTTATTCACATATCCATAGTGTTCTCTGTGTAGGACGGTATTTCTTTCGCCTCAAGTCATTTCTTCATCTATGACGAAATTCAGTATTCACTGCCTTATAGGAGGACCGATATTTTATAACATTTCACTAGTTTCTTAATACTTTACTTAACTTTTGGAAGGCATCTTTTACTATTCCATGATAGAGTGAACACTGGGATGAACACCGATTAGAGACAGCCTGTTTCATGCTTGAATGCAATCTTCATGGCTCCAAAATTGCATTCAAGCTGTCGCCCCCGAGGTGTTGACCTCAGTGTCCACTTTTATATTTACATACACTCTATCCCTAATACTGACCACTTTAACCCATAAATATTCCACACCCTAACTCTATACTTTTATCACTTATATATATATATATATATATATATATATATATATATATATATATATATATATTTACCGAGTGTAACAGCAAAATTATTCAAACCGTGTAAAAGCAAAAGTACAAAAAATAATAATAATAATAATATGACGAATACATATTTGATAGATTCTTTTTTGGGTTAACAGAGGTCTGTGAAACCGTTTTATACGACGTCACTTATACGATATTTGTAAACCTGAAGTAAATTTGAATTTTAGCGTTTCCCCAAATGCCAATATTTATGCAACAAAATATTGATAACCATAGGGACAACATCTAGTTCTTGCTAATAACTGAGACGGTCTCGGTTATTTGAATAAAAACAGAATAAAAATGAGAACTTTGGGCAACGTATCAACAATTTCTATTATTCGAAAATTAGAAAAATATAATAAAAATGAAACAGACTTTGGCCGAATGTATATTTGTCTGTGTGTGTGAGCGCGTGTATATATATATATATGTAGATATAGATAGATAGAGAGAGAGACTGATATTTACATACAGCCATATATTTTTATATATATATATATATATATATATATATATATATATATATATATATATCGATATTGATAATGCATATTCCACAAACACTGACACAACATTATGAAATGTACAAAGTCCGACAATTATTTTAAGGCATTTTTATGTTTATACATTCTTTTTATAGATACAAATATTTAAGTAAATGCTTGTATTTTTTTACATATTTGTAAACATTGAAGTTAACACTCTGAGGCGACTGACTGCTTCATGCTAAACGCACCTATATATATATATATATATATATATATATATATATATATATATATATATATATAGAGAGAGAGAGAGAGAGAGACTGATATTTACATACACCCATTTTTATATATATATATATATATATATATATCGATAATAATAATGCATATTCCACAAACACTGACACAAAGTAGACTAAAAAATAAAAATATTGTTAAAAAACAGAACGTCCTCTCTAATATGGGTATCCATTAAAATAACGTTTAAAGTTATATATATATATATATATATATATATATATATAGGTAAAAAGTGAAATAGTTAGAAAAAGAAAAATGAAAAACCTATTACAAAAATACCCAATCATAAAAAAGCAAACGACAAACGAAATCACTAAAAAAGATACTGACGAGTACAAAAGTGCAAAGAACCTCAGGTTTAAAGATGCAAGCGACCCTTTCGTGAAGTATGAAGCTACCTATTAGAAGGTCATGAATTTCAATTCAAAGATGGATACCTATTTAAAATGATTTTTCGTGCAACTTAATTATATGCAAAGGTGGCCACGAACATTTCACTGACCAAACTGTTATGGTCCGGTTTTCTATGTACCACGGTGATAGTCCAAGGTAGAACCAATAAAGAAGAACTCGAAGTAGAAAGTGTTAGTACGAACAATCAGGTTTAGTAGTAATTGTCTGAACGCTACTCTGTTTCGGACTGCCTTTGACTCGACTGACTGACTCGCTCGCTCTGACTGACGGACGGACAGACGGACGGGCGGTCTTCTGACGGACCTCACTTCAGACTTCAGACTGCACTTCCGCTTCCTCTTGGGTCGTAGTATTTATTACGTATGGAATAGTCCATTATGTTATTATTGGTAAGGTCCCATAACACAAACCGACCAGACACTCTGAAAAATGATTACAGTTCATCGTCAACAAATTAGGGATCCTCACACACCCACCAAAAAATGCCTCTTAGACAACATAAAGAAGAATGTGGAGGACAAAATCTGTCAAATTTTGAATATCTTCCCATTCTGCGACTACAAAAGCACCGACAAAAGCGTAATAATAAAGAAAGATTTTTTATCAGCAAGTTTAGACCAATACTCTATTCATTGCATAAAGCGGAGACATTCCCTCAAATTAGATTCTATCATTAATGCTTACCATAAGCTAGTATCAATTATGCCCCTTTGTTTTGGGTTTTTTTTTAATGTTTTTTGTTCAAGGCACAAGAGTCAGCACGTGGAAATATAAACATTTACAAACTCTTTTTAAAAGCTAAAATTGAAACCGGCTAAAAGAAAACAAAAAAGATAGAAAATAACAGACTGAAATAGATAGATAGATAGATAGGTAGATAGATAGATAGATAGATAGATAGATAGATAGATAGATAGATAGATAGATGAACAGGTTGACATAGATAGATAGATAGATAGATAGATAGATAGATAGATAGATAGATAGATAGATAATGAACTAGATTAGATATAGATAGATAGATAGATAGATAGATAGATAGATAGATAGATAGATAGATAGATAATGAACAGGTTGACATAGATAGATAGATAGATAGATAGATAGATAGATAGATAGATAGATAGATAATGAACAGGTTGACATAGATAGATAGATAGATAGATAGATAGATATAGATAATGAATAGATAGATAGATAGATAGATATAGATAGATAGATAGATATACCTCTTAGACCGCATAAAGAAGAATGTGAAGGAGAAAATCTGCCAAATTTGAATATCTTCCTGTTCTACCAATGCGACTACAAAATCACCGAACAGTAATGTATTAATAATGAATTTTTTTTATGAACAAGTTTAGATCAATATTCAATTCATTGCATAAACCAGAAACAATCCCTCAAAATAGATTCTATCATATTGTCTAATCATGAGCTAGTATCATTTATGCCCTTTGTTGTTTTTTTTTCCTTTGTTCAAGGCACAAGAGTCAACACGTGGGAATATAAACATTTACAAACTTTTTTAAAAGCTAAAATTGAAACATAGTTTATAAATAATTAAAAGCCTACACTCGATTAATTATTTGTCTAAGTTCATGTTTTAAACTTTAGTGTTACGTCCCACACGAATCTCACCGAAGAAAATTGGATGAGATATTTTGAATTTGATGTTAATTTTATAACAAAAGCCAAATAGAAACATCGCTATTCCATTAACATTTAAACAATTTACGTCATCATAAAAATAATAATTTTTTTTTATTAAGAGAGGAAATAATTTAAGATCCGTAAGTTCATCAAAAACATCTACAGAGGAGCGAATGGGAAACATCTAAGAAACCGGTTAAAATAGAACAAAAAAGATAGAAAATAACAGCCATAGATAGATAGATAGATAGATAGATAGATAGATAAGTTTTTTTTGTACTGCAGAAGAAATTTACATTTTGGATTAAAGAAAGAAATGGTGATCTCCTACAGCAAAAACAACACGGGAACAATTTTGGAACTCGGTTAGTCTGTTCTACACAACCCGTGATATTCAGCTGACTTTGCAACAAACGGTTAGCCTCTTTAACACTTTGATGGGGAAAGCTTTATTGAAAACCGAATTCATCGAAAATCTGCGGAATTTTAATCAAAATTTACCGAAGCGCTTCCTGAAAAACATTGCAAATAATGGTGAATATATAGTTGAATAAAATGTCATTGGACTTTCTGCATTTTTTAAGTAAATTTGGTAAATAAAAACGGAAATTATTTCTGATTTAAGCTAATATTTTGCACAGCAGATCACTGCACTAACAACTAAAGCAAACCTTTCAGTAATATATTTTTGGTGCTTGTCAGTTCATGATAAAACACCGACATCTCAGTTACACACACATTACTCATGACATGCCGTACTTCCACTCATCTTTCATATTTTACAAGCATTTGGCCACAGTTCTAAACAAGGCCAGATGTGCGAAAGCATATCTTCGCGATAAGGCTCTAGCCCAAGAATCAGATGACTTTGTATGCTTCATTTAAATAAAACTCAACCATTGTTGAGCTTAATAGAAATCCCCTAAAGACCGTTATGATGTCATTGCTTTCATGAAGCAAAGACGGCAAAGCATATATTACTGAAAAAATATATGACTTCAAGAATATCATAATCAGAATATCCACCTGTCTCTAATTTATATATATATATATATATATATATATATATATATATATATATATATATATATATATATATATATATATATATTAGAGATAACGTAACGCCAGGAGAAAATCTCAAAATCTACAACCACTCCTTACATCATCTAGACTATAAAAATCACCCACTTACCAACGTAATAAACTCCGACGCCAAGTTTGTAAACATATTATCAAGGATAGTTTTCTTTTTACAACACCTAGCACACATACAGTAATCTGACCTCTTTCCTTGACTTGCGACAATTCGACTATATATTTAATTTTTGCAACAAATGCAACATAGGAAATCATATAAGTGAAAAAGGTCTTTGTCTTAACTATAAGAAAACTATCAAAGACAACATGAGTTTCCCTGTCGCTGCATATTTCAACCAACCTATCATGGGATTTTAGTAGGTTCTCCTGTGAGTGTGTTATTTTGGTAAATGTAGGATTGGGTGAAGAGGAATGTGTTCTTGCGTTGAACGAGTAAATTGTAATGAAGGAATTAGTCAATTTAGAAAATTTTCAAAGCAACGACTAATTCGTGTATGCATGCATCAAAAACACTATCATTATTGTTTTGTCCGTGTATTGGTTGGTATGTTGAAATGTAATTGTCATCTTTGATAATGACTTATGTAAGCCGAAATCTTAGATTGGATTTAAACATGTATCAATATGATGATTTCATTTCGTCTTTCAATGATAATGTTATTAAGCTTATCAGACAATATGAAAGGAACTTACTTAAAATAAATAGACAAAACTTGTCTATATTATTTAATGAAACATGCATCAATATATATATATATATATATATATATTCTTTCCGACTTTGTTATATTCACGATCACGAATCCCGTGACACATCAGGGTCGTAGGTGTACGACTTGTACCGCAGCCGTTGTGTTTCTTGGGAAAGATAGCTTCTTCAGGTCGGTTTGAATTCAGAGTTTTCCCTCTCGTAGGTTGCCATTCCCTATAGAACCAAGTCCTGCTATTTACCCATAGCTGGTGCAGAGAAGAAGAGGATTCATACTTTTCCAAAGAGTATTAGCACGTAAGTGAATGTAATGAATTGAATTCGAACTCGGCTCTCCTATTCCTCTGTTCGAACCGCTATCCATTACTCCACCGTGTATATATTGTTATATTCACTTTGGAAAAAAGGGCAGACTGGGCTCTCACTCGCTCTGACTTGTGACTAGTCTAAGAGACAGGAAATCGAAGTGTTGTTTGGAGATTTTGCAGCAAACTGTCTATAGAACTTATTTTTTGCATTATCATATGGTATTTACTCTGTCCACCCACTAGGACGAGATGTGACACAAGGTCTATTTCTAGGTCCTTTGACAGAGAAGCCCCTGAGCGCACTCTGCCAAAAGACAGAGACGCAACTGAGAGATAAGTAGACGTGACCTTACTCAAAAAAGAGTAAGGTACACGTTTTTTGCATGGTCATATTTCCAGAATGGATTCGACAAGGCACATGGTATCCTTTGTTGCATAGCCCCTCATGTTAGGAGGTTTTGGTCAGTGTCAATTAATACAATGTTTTATAGCAACTTGGTGGGCGTGGTCTTGGGCGACGGTGCCGATTCGATAATAAAGTTGCATTGTTCTCTCGCGTCCGGTGATCGCTAGTTGTTTTGGCGTACGTAGAGGAAAAGCACTTCAACACAGAGAATTTTATCTATTTTATTAACGTCAACGTATACATCTTCTAAATCGCCAGTGGAGTTTCTCACTCCCTCAACTGGGGAGCCGTTCCAGACACGAAAGGAAACACGTCTTCATTGTTCAACGGTTATAACTCAACTCCCTGAAAAACTTTTCTAGATCTTATATAGCATGCCTACGCTCGTTCAACCAACCAGTATCGACTTCCTTGTTTTGTCTTCTATCTCTGATCAGAGATATCATTCCAACTAAAAATAATCATCTGCTAAACTATTATTTAACACCTTGTCTCCAATGCTACCTATTTTTTCTAATGATTTTGCCAATATCCACACGGTGCTATCGTAGACACAAACACGTTAGGCTATATGACGGTTCCGTGTAGAATACAGGTTCTGTTCCTGTCGGAGGACGCATATTTCCTATGAAAATGTCTCGGACATTCAAGCCGGTAAATCTTGTTAATACTGTTTATTATAATCAGAGAATTTACTTCGAAGAATTCGCGTTTCATTTTATCCAGTAAAGTAAATACACAGTCTACTGACAGCGTGCACATTGAAGCCGAAGATATGGCAATAGAATTTTCATATCACTTTTAGATAGAAAAAATAACAAAAGGAGTTTTTATTTTTTTTTTTTCAAGACAATGCTCCAGGACACAAGTTCTTTGTTCCAATGACTGCTGGCGTGAATGTGATTTTGAACTGGTTGATCACCTTCCCTATTCAGTTGATATAGCCCCATCTGACTACCATCTGTTCCCCAACCAACATGAAAAACAGTTGGCTGTGAACTAGTATCTCTCTCTATGATAACGACGTCCTGAATTTTGTTTTGTCTTCATTTAAATAAATAAAGATTTCTCTTTATGTTTTATTTGAACTTCTTAAAAATGATTTCCTCTGTTTTTTGTATTCTTCTTTTTCTCTGTACCGTGTTCGTTTGGGACGTTAGGGATAATGTCTCCCCACAATTCCCTGTCCTTTATAGCACTTTGTCTTCTTTCTACCTCTCCTAATCAACTCTTCTGATAAACATTTACACATGCCTATTAGTTAGCCTAAGCTCTATTTCCCTTTGTCCCGCTTACCGTCAGTATGTCCTGTGAGTGACAAATTTTCTAAGTCCCCTTTCCTCGCTACGAGCCCTATAATTTTCTATTCTCTTTCTGATTTTAACTGAGTTTCTTTTTTCTTTCCATTTTTTTCTAAAACTTCCTCGTTGCTCACTTTTTCAGTCCATGATATCCTCAGCATCCTTCTGTAGAACCATACCTGCGTTGCCTTGAGTCTCTTCTACATCTTTGAAGATATTGTCTAACATTAACTACTGGACATTGATTGGTTGACTTGTTTTTTACGGCTTATCAACTTTTTGCAGGAAATTCGAACCTAAGGAATATTTTTAGATTTTAAGAATTTCTTTGAGCATAATAATGATTTACTGATACGAATCCTTCTAATTAACCCATAGCTGGTGAGAAAAGGTGGATTCATAACTTTCCCAACGGTATTTGCTTATAAGTGAATATAACGAATCCGTCCGGAATTGGAACACGGCTGTCTGATTTCCAATTCATTATTCATTGCACCAGCCGCACATCTACGCTTACAGTTCCTAGTATTCCCAATCAGTCACGCATCTAGGCATTGATCAGATTCGACGTTCGATGATAGTAGGAGAATCGGTATTTTAACGGTAAGCACAGTGTCGGATATGAATGCTGGACAATCTGCTCATAGATGAAGCTACTCGCTAAAAATAGATAATAGAAGATTTGAGAGCATTTCTTCTTTTCTCGTCGACGAGAAACTCAAATACATGATGTTAATTTAGGATCAAAATTTAACAGTAAATTCATCATGCAGAGGCAAGATATTTTAACCTTCCCCCCACCCGCCAAACGATGAGACTTTCATATTGTTTTACTCGGGTTTTCAGTTTTTGCTCATAGAATAGACGAATGCTGACCAAAGATGTAATGTGTAAATCATAGAATTTTGAAGAATTTTCTTTTTACTTCCACTTTAATAATTGAGATTTTTATCGTTGAGTCCCCAAAGTCAACGCAAGGAGGTGGATTTTATGTCGCCGGCTACGAACAAAAAGTCCCACGTAAATTGCATCTTTTACGGTAAGAAAGAGAAAATGCTACATTTCATTTTTTTTTTTTTTGCTTTTTTTCGGGGGGGGGGATTTTGTAAGAATTCCATGTCCCTTCCAAACATAGTTCTTGATATCTCTCTACAGACTCCCTTTCTTTATCAGCTCCGAATTGCTTTGACTTCTTAGAGAAGACAGTAAATTCGTTTCCCAGATCCTTCTCCATAGTTTTGAATCTATATTAGTCTTCCTTCTAGACTGGCTGTTACTCCTATACACCCATATTTAACCCTCTATCTTGAGTAAATCTTGGGTGGGCCTTTTGTATGTTGAAGAGTAGTAAAAAAACAAAAACAAAAAACAAAACAGTAAACGTAATGAATAAATTAGAAAATCAAATCTATATTCTGTGTATTACTTCTGTTTGTGTACTGTTTCTGTCTTCA